CCCCAAAAATCACAAAGAGGGAAACAAAACGAGTCAACTAGTAATCAAGCATCAAAACACCCCAAAAATCATCAAAGTAAACCAACCTCCACAAAGTGAAACAAGAATAATCAGCAAAAGACCAAAGAGTGAAACAAGAATAATAAGCAAAAGACCGAAGAGGGAAACATTTCTCAGGTAGTGTGAGAGAGGAGATGTCATCAGCAAAGGTGATGATGTGAGAGAGGAGAGTTGCGCCTGTGTTGGAGCCTCGGAGGGAGAAGAGTCGAGATGAGTGTGAGTCTTTTAGGATTAGGGATTTCAATTTTCAAAGTTTAATTCAATTTTTTTTTTATATATAAATAATAAACGGGCACCCGCGGGTTTCCCAATCTAATCCGTATGAAATACGAATCGGGTACAGATACAAAACACTAGACCTATACCTTATATTTTTTACCCAAGTATGGGTCGATCTACAGGTCTAAACCCGTTTTGTCAAGTCTAATAATTTCCCAACATTCATCTCTATTTTTAAAATCAATAAACTTTATTTTTATTTTGTAATATTAAACAGTCTTACTATTAATAAGACTTAAATGAACATATGTCAATGTCATAATGAGGCACTTTCTAACACCAGGCTGCTCCCAACCAATTTATAGCAAACTACAAACTCCGGCTGGCCTCTTTTAGTCCAAGTACTTTTTCTTCTTATAGCTATTAGCTAGTACCGTCATGGAACAACTCTTTTCATTCATTCTCATTTACATTTTGAATTTATGACCAGGGCAAAAATTTACCGTGGGGGCCTATTCCTTTCCAAACAGTTAGGTAAATCCATCTTAAACAGGAGATAATCACTATTATTTAACTAACACATTATAATTAATGAAGGTAAACATGGCATTACGTGTCACGAGATCCGCGTTGAATTGATGATTAAAATTTTAAACCTTAAACAGGCTAGCAGTTAGTTTCTGTTTGTGTGGTTTAAGTACTCTTTTTTTAATAAATTAAAATGAAATAAAGAGAATTATTATTAGCTCACGCAGTTAGAGTTTCTACTTTAGAAAAAGGATCCGAATCTATACAGCCAATGCTTAATTGTAAAGGATTTGACTTAGTGTCGGTGGACCAATGACTAATGTAACGAATAATTTGAAAGAGACGAAGGACCACCATGGGCCTGCCTCTACACGATTATTTTGCCGACAATTTGATTCTAGTTTACGCCACAATCATGCGCAAATTGCGTCCTTAATAGATATTATTATATCTATAAACTATTAAGCTTGTAGTTGGGATTAAAATTATAATACGCTGTTCATTAATGCTCGGGTCAAAAAGTTGGCAAAACACAGACCTAAAGTAACATTTTTTTTTTGTCGGGTTGTGAGCTATGCAGCCCGTCTTGTAGATCCGTGTATTAATATTCCTTCAATTAATTTTACTTAATTAGAGGATACATTAGAGTCAACGGACGGATCAAGATCCACTTAGTGTTTGGTAAATGTGGAAAGAGAAGTGCGTCAACATTATTATTATTGTTACTTACTACATCCAGCTTGGATTAAAATAAAATCGTGAATTAGGTATGTTAATTAAACTTGTGACAGCGCCATTTCTTATTATAATAATGATATAGCATAGTGTAATGGGACAAAAATGATAATTTTTTGATTAAATGTTATTAAAAATGCCTTTGAAGAAAATTTTACTAATGTACGGATAATTTTCATCCAAGTCGATGGGCCATTTCAGATCTTTTCTTGAAGTGAAAATAAAGATACAGTGATAAACCAGAAAGGGTATGATGATTATTAAATTACATTTATTTCTATTTAAAAATTGGTAAACAAATAATTAAACTTCTGTTTTTAGTGATGCATAAGCATTAATGGTACGTTATATAGTCCATGAAAAAGCAACCCCACAGGCCACAGGAGCAGCTTCTATATTAGAGAAGTCACTACGTATCATGCAAAAGGGATAATGGATTTATAGATAAAAAGTAGGCGGAGCAAATTGTAGGGTAGAAATTTGGGTACGGAGACAAAGTGTTTGTTTGCCGGGTGGGTCTTTTTCTCCTTTCAAATACAAATTGAAACACTCAACATTCGTCAGCATTCCATCTCTCACATCACCATGCGTCTTTGATGATTTCTTTTGTTCATAAACAAGTGTTCTAACCTCATCGTTTTATATAAAATATTTTTAATTAAATTTAAAATTGGGATTTGTTGGGATAATTATCAAGTTAGTAAAGGAATAGGAGGACTCACATAAGTCTACAAAATGACAAACGATTGACTTGGAATGGAACCTTCTTCGTTGTGATCCCCAATTTGAAATAAATAAATAAAATTCACAACCTTCCAACCAAATTTTCAGTCTTGGTGCCTACTGCCTTATAAAACAATATGGTGGGATAGCATTAGGTATTGAATTGTCAATTACATCATTTTCAAACTTTTAATTTTCAATTGAATAAAATTGCATCCTTCAAATGCCATCTACTTTATTGGTAAAATATGAATTTTGAAGGTTTGATTAATTGGCGGAGGAAAATCCATCATAATATCCGAGCACACTGTACTTCCCTGCCACGTGTTAATAGTGAAAAATCTTACTCACACTTCAAGGTGGTCCCGTGACAATGGACACGGTCCCACACAATACTAACCCAATCTCGTGGAAACACTGCCAATATATTTAAAATCGCGCGTTTACGCCACCACCGCATGCAAACAAACAAATCACGAGCCACCTTAAAACGCAATCTTAATTCTGATCCTCTGCTTTCACTCTTCATCCTACACATTGCACCTGCACTGACACGTCGCCATCTTTCTTCACCGACACAGGAACGCGGCTAGATGGGCCCATTTTCTAGGCTTAGCATTTCATAAACTTGGGAATACACAAATTAACCCTCGCTCCCATCCCATATGAATATGTATCATTCTTGGACAGATCTCATACTAATATTATAATTACAGTAAACAACATGTTCCCATCCAAAAAATGACTTATTGACAAATTCATATCCACCCACTTTTTAAATACCCTTTCAGTACTCACAACACAATTTTTTTTAGTAATTTTTGTTGTAAGAAAGGGTAAAATGGTCAAAAGTTCATTACCAATGAGGGTAGTATGGTCAACAAATATTTGGCTAAAATAAAAATTTCAAAATAACCCTTTACATCTCAAATTTCTCACAAGCACCCTTGACCTCCCTCTACATCTCCTAGCCTCGTTAGCCTCCATTTTGGCCAGATCTAAACCTTTTCTCTGCAATTTCCCCCTCCTTCATGGTTGCGTGAAAAATCCAGATCTAGCCGGTTTCAAGAGTCGTTGGACATCACCACCACCAACACTAGCTTCCTCGATTCATCCATGACAAAACCCATCCATCCCCTAGCCTCGTTCGCCTCCATTTTGGACGGATTTGAGCGATTTTCCCTCCCTTGCGACTGCTAGAAAAATCAAGATATATTGGGGTTAAAATATAATTTATTAATGTATTTGTGTGTCCAAATCTAAATGAAACCAGGAGTTTTTTAGTAAATCATTTTGTTTCCCACCAAAATCAATAGAAAACCTAATATTTGGGTAATAAAAGAGTATTTTAAAATTTTGAGGGTAAGAAAGGATCAATGTGCCATTTTTTGGGTAGGAACACATCGTTAACTCATTATAATTATATTATCGTCTCTATTTTCCCGTCAATCCATGAACTAAATAATGTGTTATTGATTTCTGAAAAAATTATATTTAAAAAAATCTCAAAAGCACAGCTTTGGGGTTGCTTTTTTATGGTGAGTTGATGGAGTAATTTGATGATCCAAAGAAAATGTGGCACATAGTATGAGGAATGAGTATTCAGGACATCATGAGGATGAGCGTAAAGGAGCACAAGATTGTATTGCTCCAAATGGAACAAGATTCTTCTCCTGCTTTTTCGACCCAATCTCTCAAAAGGGGTCCACATAATTTTATTAATCCCTTTAAAAATAAATAAAACAATTTGTATCCTTGTAATTTACCTGGCGTGGAAATGATTACCCTCAGGGCCTCAGTAATTAAGGGTTGAAAATCTGTCTAAGATTATGCCTTTTTCAACCTCAAAAGCAAATATTAAAAAAAACACTGCTGCAACTTTCAACTGCTTATGTGTCGATTTTTTTAAGCATAATTTCACTTGTAATATAATTTTAGCTCAAAAACAAAAACAAAAGGGAATTTGATTGGGTCGAAAACGACATCGGGTGATTGAGGTCCGTTTACAGATGAAGGTAAAATATTTGATTGCCGTGTAAAAAAGGAGAAAAGGGTTGTCGCTTAGATTTGTAAGTGGGGAGAATAAATAATTGGAGCCAGGCAGGATCATCATAAATCATATGGTAGTAAGTTTTAAATGCTAAAGTAAAGAAGTGAGCAAATTACTAAATTGCAGTAACATTAAGATGCATGTATTTTTTATGTCGATGCAAGTCAAATGTGATCTTAATAATTAATAATTAATAAAAGTAAACAATCCTCTCCCTCTCTCGCCTCAGTCTACAAAATTATTCCATTACACATGACGGTGCAAGCCTTTGCCGAGTAAATTCTCATCGTCCCTTGGGACGGGAGTTTAAAAAAAATAAAAAATAAGTCTTTTTTATTTCAAGATAGAGTGAACAGCTTGTTACTGACTGAGGAAGAAATTACGGTTGAGTTGCGGTGAAAGTCTTTTATTATCGAGAATAAGATACAGTAGTCGTAGAATCCTAGAATTATAGCGTTGATGGCTGGTTACATTTTATGGTTGGCTTATTTAATATCTGAAGATCATTATTTCATAGATATTAAAAAATATATATTTTATATAAAAAGGGTATAGTATTCAGTTTTAACGAGTTCTGTCGTGATTGGATCGATACAAAATCTCTTTTCTATTTTCTTCCACTCTCAGTATCGAAGACGAGGGGAGTTGGAGAGGGAGAGGTAATCGGAGCTAAGACTTGAAGTAAACACAACANGTTGCTATAATAACCCTCCAGGTAAATGGATAAATGCCTTGCGTACAGCAGTCAAAATTGCTCCCCGTAAGCAATGGAAATATATTATGATGCAGTCAACTGATAACATATCACTTCATTTTTGTTTTTTCTCTTAAGAGGTCTAGTTGAATTTTTTTCATTTCTGATTGTTACAGGAACATGAAAAGGGAAAAGTTCTCCTTCGGTTGGCTCACCTATATGAGGTCTAAACTCCATTCCTATATACTAATGGTTATAGAAGCATTGGACCTAATACTTTCTCAAAGTGTCTAAACCACTGTGTGTAGTATTTTGAAGCATAAATCTGGTGGGAAATTCCTTATCAAGTTTTGTTCTTTCTGAAGGCTCTTTTTCACCTTTTTAGTGATAAACTGAATCTCTTTGTTCTTTCGCTCTCCCTTACTCTTTAGCTTTGTGACAACTTTTTTCGTTGTTTCCCTCTTTCTCTGATTCCTTTTGTTCTGTGATGTTGCTACATACTTCAACTTCCAATTCATTCCCTGTTAGAAACAGTAATCCTGGTAGTGGAGCAGTGCATCGATTCTTCATTAATCAAATCATACCCTATGGCATAACCGCTTTGGTGGGAAGATTAAAATTTAAAACCTACATATGAACCTTCAATGGAAATATTTTTACATTTTTATGCATCTGTGTTGATGGGTGTCTGATTTTATGCAGACTGGAGAGGACAAAGACTACTCTGTAATGACAAGTGTGGAGTTAAAGAAGCTGTTTCCAAACAAGAAGGTAAGAGCAGTAGCTACTACATTTTGAAAAATACTCTATTCATTGATTAAACATGTCCTAATTTTGATCCACACCCATGTTCTTTTCAGATAAGTAAAGTGACAGAGATGAACCTGTCTGCGAATCAAGAAAGATCCATGATGGAGAAGAGAAAGTTAGCCTGGAAAGTACAGGGCTCTGCGGAAGCAGAAAAAAAGGTGGTGAGAGGAGGACCTGTTGATCCTGCAAAGCTGGTGGTGGAACTTGCTCCTATGGAAATCAGAACTTTCTTAATTGACTTTGATTACTTGAAAATGTTTGGTTCCTGAAAGAGAAGTGCATGATAGAGACAAACTGAGTGAGATACTGAGATGCCTTGAAAGCTTCCCTTTTGTACGTGTTTTTGTAATTAGGCTGAAATGCATTGTAGTCTACGGCTGATATCAATAAAAACGTAGGAATAAATTCCGGTCCTGTTTAGGAAAGATCAACATGTGGCTTATATTTTACAGCTTGGCAGTTATCATTACAATATTATATACTGTAATAGGATGCACTTATTGTAAATAAAATGATATTTTTGTCAATGTTTTTGTAAATTGTTATATGTTATATATTGGGTCGGATTTGTAGGGTTTTTGAATATTAGTTGATAAATAAATAAAAATAAAAATTTTGAAGAACAGCATATAGTTCGTACCTTTGTGATATAATAAGGACGAGTTAAACGACAAGTTGTGTATTGGGCACCTGGCAAAAAGACTTGATGAATATTATATTTGAAGTGGATGACAAGTCATCCATGTCTTTTAAGGCAATCCACATCCATTTCTTTTTCAAGATGACGAATTTTTATTACCTTCCTGTTAAATTTTATCCCAACACCTTCAGAATTTTGAGGAGTAATCATCAATCATTTTCTTTGATCTTCACAATTGTTATGCCTCAAAAGTCAAGCTTATATCAACATAATTAATGTCTTTCTGTACCAATTGTCAAGCCCATATCTCCAAAGATATTCTCACCAACTTTATCTCATTTCAAAGAGATGAATGGACGAGAGCCTTTCATGTGTCAAGGCAACTTGCAAAACACCCATTACATTGAGTCAGAAGTGTATAAATGGGGACTCCTCTTCCCGAAGAGGGAGAAGAAGGTTGGGCTGAGATTGAAGCTTTATTTCTTTCTCTGTAAAAACACTGTATTTCTTCATCTTTGTATGCCTTACGGGCAAAATCATAGAAATAGTCAGAGATCAATAAAATAACAGTGGATGTAGGAGTCGCTTGTTGCATCCGAACCACTATAAAAACCCCCTTTTGCCAATCTTTCATTTATATTTTCTGCAAAATATATAATCTCAGCTCCATATTCAAATATCATGGATCCATCACGTGTGATTCCTAAGTCCACTTAGCGCTTCTCACGTGCGAGTCGTTGGCGTCCAAAATCAAGCGTCAACAGTTTGGTGGCCCATGCAGGTCCGATTCTCAAACCTGCATCCAAGTTCCTTGATGGCGTGCTCAGATCTCAAACCTGCGTCAGAATTCTCCAATCGTGTGGCCAAATCGCCGATCGCACACGTTAGAATTCTCCAATCGCGTGGCCAGATCGCACGCGTCAGAGTTTTTCGATCGCGTGGCCAGATCGTAGATCGCACGCGTTAGAATTCTTCGATTGCGTGCATCAGAATTCTCCAACCGCGTGGCCAGATCGCAGATCGCACGCATTAGAGTTCTCCGATCGCGTGGCCAGATCGCAGATCGCACGTATCAGAGTTCTCCGATCGCATGGCCAGATCGCAGATCGCACGCCTATGCCGTCCTGATCCTCGGCTTCTGATCGCTGATCTTTAGCTTCAAATCACGTGTTCAGATCGCTGATCACACGCTGAGATCGCTGATTTCTTGTGCTCTTAGGTAGAGCTCGTTATGTGTTCAGGTCGAGCACAGGTTAAGCCTAGGTCGTGCTCGTTATGTGCTCAGGTCGAGCCCAGGTCGTGCTAGTTACGTGCCCAAGTCGAGCCTAGGTTGTGCTTATTATGTGCTCAGGTCGTCCCTAGGTCGAGCCCAGATCGTGCTCGTTATGTGTTCAGGTCGAGCCCAGGTCGTGCTAGTTACGTGCCCAAGTCGACCCAGGTCGTACTCGTTACGTGCCCCGGTCGTGCTCGTTCAGGTCGAGCTTAGGTCGTGCTCGTTATGTACTCAGGTCGTGCCCAGGTAGTGCTAGTTACGTGCCCAGGTCGTGCTTGTTATGTGCGCAGGTCGTGCCCAGGTTGTGCTTGTTATGTGTTCAGGTCGTGCTCGTTATGTGCTCAGGTTGAGCCCAGGTTGTGCTCGTTACGTGCTCAAGTCGTGCTGGTTATGTGCTCAAGTCGAGCCCAAGTCGTGCTCGTTATGTGCCCAGGTCGTGCTCGTTATGTGTTCAAGTCGAGCCCAGATTGTGCTCGTTATGTGCCCACGTCGTACTCGTTACGTGCTTAGGTCGATACCAAGTCGTGCTAGTTACGTGCTCAGGTCGAATCTAGGTTGTGCTCGTTACGTGCTCAGGTCGAGCCCAGGTCGTGCTCAGGTCGACCCCAGGTCGTGCTTAGGTCGAGCCCAGATTGAGCTCGTTTTGCTTAGACTGAGGTCGTTTTGCTTGCTTCTAACAGATTTCAGATCGTTTTCCTAACAGATTTCAGGTCGAGCTCCTACCAGGTTTCAGGTTGAGCTCCTACCAGATTTCATGTCGTTTTCCTAACAGATTTCAGGTCAAGCTCCTATCAGATTTCAGATTTTAATTCGAGCTCTTCAGTTCGAGACTGCAGCCATTCAGATCAAAGACTTTAGTTTCTGAAGCGCGATTACGCACTTAAAAAACTGAGGGGCTTCTGTTATGCCTCAAAAGTCAAGCCTATGTCAGCACAATTAATGTCTCTTTGTACCAGCTGCCAAGCCCATATCTCCAAAAATATTCTCACCAACTTTATCTCATTTCAAAGAGATGAATGGATGAGATCCTTCCATGTGTCAAGGCAACTTGCAAAACATTCATTACATTGAGTCAGAAGTGTATAAATAGGGACTCCTCTTCCCGAAGAGGGAGGAGAAGGCTGGGCTGAGATTGAAGCTTCATTTCTTTCTCTGTAAAAACACTGTATTTCTTCATCTTTGTATGCCTTACGGGCAAAATCATATAAATAGTCAGAGATCAATAAAATAACAGTGGATGTAGCAGTCGCTTGTTGCATCCGAATCACTATAAAAACCCCCTTTTGCCAATCTTTCATTTATATTTTCTGCAAAATATATAATCTCAGCTCCATATTCAAATCTCATGGATCCATCATGTGTGATTCCTAAGTCCACTTAGCGCTTCTCACGTGCGAGTCGTTGGCGTCTAAAATCAAGCGTCAACTAAAATATTTAGTTGACCAAGAAGATTCACTACAGTGCCTTCTACATTTGGTATCCCATAAACATCCTCACCTACCAAAATACCTAACAAAATTATATATTATATTATTACACTTTTACTAAAATTATTTTAACAATGTTATAGTAAATTTTATATCAGTTTTTGTAAATACAGACTCAGTTCTAATTTCCACATTTTTTTTCTCCTTTGAGTTTGAACAAGCCACAAGCAGAATACCCTAGACAAGTGTTTCAGTTGCTACCGCTCCGATTGAGTTTCTTTGATCGCAGGAAGCAGGGCCGAATGGCCTTTCTGAAGTTAGGTGATGATGGTGGGGATAAATCATAGTTTCTAGTTCTGTTGCGTATGGATTAAATTTATATTTCCATTTTTATGTTAAATTCTAAATTATGATTAAAAATATTAGGACATAAAATTACAAAAATAGATCCCCAAATTTAGGTCTGTTTCGTTAGAATAGTATTTAAAAAAAAAAAGTAAGTTTAGATTTAAGAATATTAAAACAATAAATTTTTAGATTTTTAAAATAGAATAATAATAATAAACCAAAAAACCCTTATAAATTAATTTATAACAAAAGATAGGTTGAGGCCAGTCATATAAATATTATTTTGTTTAATTTGTTTGCACAATTGNGTTGTGATGTGACCCCACCCTCACTCTCACTATAGTATATATTGCTTCACCAAAAGTTACATCAACAATACATTATACAAATTTAATAATATAATTAATACATGAAATTAATTTTTACGTATAAAGTTTGAAAACACCAATGGCCCGCTCTCCTACCACATATTCCTTGTGAGATATTGAGGTGCCTGCAACTGCAATTAAAACAGTGAAAATTAGTTAGCCAAAAGCAGGTGATGGAAATGTTATAGTAAGGAGAGAATATTTGAAAGTTGAAAGAGAGTTTATTTTATTAACATTCTCACGTTTAATAATTAGACTAATGGGACTTATGTTTATTGGAGAATAATATTGGATCCAGCAGTAACGCAATCAATGGATTCCACTTTGTATAAAGATCAGAAGCCATTTATAAAGGTAAACCCTAGTTAGATTGGCTAGAATCAAGATGCCTAATTATTTCCTTATTCATAGTGGTTTCCAATAATATGCTTTTAATCCAATTTAAAACTCATCCCATGTTAAGAAAACCCCATACATAAATATCTATATATTTTTTTTTAAAATATGTTGACGTTTGATTTTAGACACCAACGACTCGCACGTGAGAAGCGCTAAACGGACTTAAGAATCACACGTGATGGATCCATGAGATTTAAATATGGAGCTGAGATTATATATGTTGCAGAAAACATAAATAATAGATTGGCAATAAGGGTTTTTATAGTGGTTCGGATGCTTAACAAGCGACTCATATATCCACTGTTATTTTATTGATCTTTGACTATTTCTATGATATTGCCCATAAGGCATACAAAGATGAAGAAATACAGTGTTTACAGTGAGAGAATTGAGCTCTTATCTATGGTTAGCTCTCATATGTCCAGCCCCCCTCTTCGGGAAGAGAAGTGCCAATTTATACACTCAATATAATGAGTGTTTTGCAAGTTGCCTTAACACATGGAAGGCTCTCATCCATTCATTTCTTGAAAGGAGATAGGGTTGGTAAGAATATTTTTGAGGAGATATGGGCTCGGCAGCTAGTACAGAAAGACATTTATTAAGTTGACATAAGCATGACTTTTGAGGCATAACAGAAGCCCCCCAGTTTTTGGAGTGCGTAATCGCGCTTTAGAAACTAAGGTCTTTGATCTGAATGACTGTAGTCTCAAACTGAAGAGCTCGAACTGAAATCTGTTAGGAGCACGACCTGAAATCTATTAGGAACACGACCTGAAATATGTTAGGAGCTCAACCTGAAATAACGAGCTGGACCTGAAAACAAAACGAGCTCAAGCTGAGCAAAACGAACTCAATCTGAGACCAAAACAAGCTCAATCTGAGCAAAACGAGCTTAGAGCTAAATGAGCTCGACCTGAAAGGTCATAACGAGCTCTACTTGAAAGGTCATAACGAGCTAAACGAACTCAAT